GGGCGTGTCCCGCTGTGGGTCTGCAGTGCGTTCTCCTTCTCCCGTCAAGGGCGTGTCCCGCTGTGGGTCTGCAGTGCGTTCTCCTTCTCCCGTCATCTGGCTGGGCACACTGTGGCTGTTTCTGTGTCTTAGTCATTGTGAATTGTGCTGTGATAAACATAGAAATGCAAATAGCTTTGGGAGATATCGATTTCAGTTCTTTTATAAGCACACCCAGAAGTGGGATAGCTCAGGGTTTTAAATTTTTTAGGAATCTCCATGCTGTTTTGTATATATTCCCGCCAGTCGTTATAAGGCTCCAGTTTTCCCTGATCGACACTGATCTCTTATTTTTTTGATAATAGCTATCCTAGCAGGTATGAAGGGAAATGTCGTTGTGGGTTTTAGCTGCACTTGCTTGTTGGTTGGTAATACTGAGCATCTTCTCGTATATCTGTCCACCATTCGCCTGTGAGTTCATCAGGCCATACAAAACCCAGGGGCCTTAAGAACACTTGGGTGGTGCCAGCTCAGGCTCTCACACCATCTAGAGGACACTTCAGTGGTTGTCAACTTTCCTAATGCCGCGACCCTTTAATACAGGTCCTCATGTTGTGGTGACCCCCAACCATACAACTATTTTCGTTGCTACTTCATAACTGTAATTTTGCTACTGTTATGAATCGTAATGTAAATATCTGATATGTAGGATGTTCTTAGGCGACCCCTGTGAAAGGATCATTCGACCCCCAGAGGGGTTGTGACCCACAGGTTGAGAACAGCTGCTTTAGACCCTTCTGAGCCCTGGGCTTCCTCATGTACTTTTAGACAGCCAAGCTGTGCATCTTATCTTTGCCTTAGTGTGTGGGTGTACAGTACACCCGCTGGAGACTATGCTTCACTCAAGTTACAGACACAAAAATCTGCCAGCAAATGTTCTGCCAGGATAGATATGAGAGGTATGAGAGAGAACTTTAGAAACTGGTAAAGTTCTGGGCAAAAACATGCCTTCCTTTTTAACGCTGGTAATACAACTGGTGTCAGACATCTGATTGATTTCCCCTAACTTTATTAACTACTGGGGAAGATATTGCTGAATTCTCACAGTTTGTATAGACTGTTGAATCTCAGATTTTCCAGTTTAGTTTACTAACTCATTTAAATTAGGTTCAAACATTTTTGTTTTATATTTTACTTTTTATACATTAAAATATTATGATAAAGATGAGAGTTTTTCCCAGGCTTCTCAAAAATATCTTCTTTTTACTTGTGCCATCCTTTGAGAAGAAATATTATTCAGTAAAGATGTGTTACATCATGGTGAACAAATTAAACTGCAATCTAAGTTATTCTAGCTAAAACAACCTTGTGCCCTGAATGATTCTGGCATCCACTTGTGGCGATTGATTGTATTTCTTTGTGTAATATAAAGAGAAAATAAAATATGATTCTATTTATATATAGCAATCGTCAGTCTCTCATCAGCTTCTTAGTTGGGTTAACCGTAGTTTTGATTGTTTTCTGACCCCTGTCAGGGTCTAATGCTATGCTTGACAAAGTCCTCCAGCTTTGTGAGGGTACAACAGTGGGGTACAAGACTGGCCAGCAAGGGAGAGATGCGGTCAGGAGTCAGCCAAACAGCAGATCAGATTTGATTTCATCGCAAACTCAAGCCAGCCTGAGGTCTCAGTTTCAGCAGAATCAGCTCAGGCAGGACTAACCCTGGAGGTCCCCCTGACCCAGGTGGGCCAGCTCACACCAGCATTCAGCAGGTGGATGTGCAGGTGTCAGGAGCCCAGGGTAGGAATTCAGGTAGAAATGTGCTGTGGGTGTGGAGGAGTCATGGAACCAGTTCCGCGGAAGGGTCACATTGTACAGTTGCGTGCTTAATACCTAACCTGACGTCTGGCTGCAGGTTTTCCAGTGCCCTCGTTAGTCATTTACATGTGACATCCAGGCAGTGTGCTGTGCTCGTTTGGTCATTTAGTGCCTGGATTTACTGAGAGTCCTTCACAGTTACCTTCCTCGTGGGGCCTGTTAGCCTTTCTCCATCCCACTGTCGAAAAGCAAACCACAGTCCAATTAGTGAGGACGGCTGTGGCTTGAGCTACTTATCCTTGGTTTTAAGTCTCATCAGCCACCCAGACGGTGCAGGTAGCAGAGGTGAGAGCTGCCTGGGGGCTTCACGTTAATAACTCACAGTGGGTTGTGGCTATTCTCCAGGACAGGAATTTTGTCTGACACTCGTTGCACTCCTTAGCAATCCCTGTGCTAGGATATTAGGTGCTTGGAAATATTTTCTGGAAGAATGAATAAGGGGTGCTGAAAAGTATAGAGAGGAACCTTCAAAGTTGGTTCCACACCAGGAGGGGCCCGTAGTCCCATCAGGACATGCACTGTGGATGCCTCAGCACATCCTGGGGTGCAGAGTTCACTGCAGGACACCAGACTGGCTGCATCTAGATTTCTCTCTGACTTTGTGTCCTCAGTGGATGGCGTGTGGTCTTGCTGGTCACCCTGGTCAAAATGCTCGGCAACCTGTGGCGGTGGACACTACATGAGGACACGCTCCTGCACCAATCCAGCCCCAGCCTACGGAGGGGACATCTGCCTGGGGCTGCACACGGAGGAGGCGCTTTGCAACACCCAGCCCTGCCCAGGTGAGGGCGCCCTGCTTACTGCACCACTCTGGGACACACTGGCCCCTTTCCTCCACTTATCAGTGGTGATTTGATGATATCACATCACAGTAAGGGGCATGGGAAAGACCACTGCCACACTATCACCCTTGAAGTGACTTCATACCACAAGGTTCAATATTAAAACAGTTCTTGCTGTGCCCTACAATAGATTCAGAACGAGTGTCCAAAGCCTTTAGCACACCAGTGGGAGTGTATACATCTTACCATAACATCGAAACTCCCTACCCAGGGAAGATCCCAGCTTGGCCTTGACCTTTCTAATTAGAAGAGTCCATTGTAGCATCTCAAGGACTGAAATGGGAAGAAACAAGTGTTTGTAGAGCCCCCTCTGCCCTGGAGTCTGGGGATCACTGCCTGCTGGGCGCAGACAGACATCTCTCAAGGATCCTCACACTTATGTTCCATCAATGATTTCTAAAGTGTTAGAAGGGGCACCTGGCACTCTGGGAGGACACTTCATCAAGGTCAGTGGGCTTTCATCCAGAGGATGCACAGTTACAGAGAACAAAAGGCCAGATCTCAAACCAGTAAACAGAGGAGCAGAGCAAAGCAAACAGAAACTGGTCATAACAAAACCTTCTCAAAGTGTGTAACTTGATAACAGGGTCTGACATTTTACTGTTGTCATCAGGGTGGGCAGCAGGGATCCCTTGCAAAGTGAACCTCACAGGGAAGGGCCTTGGGGATGTGGGAGCCCTCAGCTGTGAGGTCCAAGGCCAACAAAGGTGCCCTTCCGTGCCTCAGCCACCACCCCAGTCTAAGGAGGCACTTGGGTTTCTAACATGCAGCAGCCACCTGGGATGAAAATAGCCAGTCCTTTATAACTCTGACATGGAAACTCACACTTTTTTCAGCTTGCTCCTGTAGATCTTTCTAGATTTCATTTGCATTGAAAAGTGCCTCGAAAGCAGATTCTCACAGTAATTAAAAAAACAAAACAGCACTTTACACATTTCTAAGAAAACATGTACTGTTTACCTGGATCAAGGCACGCTTTGATTTCCAAATTTTCCCTGCCTTTGCAAAGGTGATGCTTAAATTTTCAAAGGGGAAACTATGCAATATGTATTCTTCTCATCAGCACATAGGAAAAATACCTTTTTATAATGATTAATATTTCATAATAAAATATCGAGAGTTCACGTTTTTAAGGTTATTACTTAAACATGGCGGTGATTGCTCTCTTTTCCCACATCTGCCCACCTGGCAAGTTTAAACCCAGCAACCCTCCCATTGGAAGGGGCTGTGTCCATGCAGTGCTCATCTCCACCTTTGACCCAGACTTGGCCTTAGACTCTTCAGGGCCTGGACTGTAACTGCAGATGAAGTGAGTTGCTCCCCAAGGGTAGCCTGGCTTTACCGTGTTGACTCTGCAGAATTGTTTTTATAACAGAAGAAAAAGTACTTGTGGTAGTTTCCGGTCTACCCTGCACCCCCTGGGTTCTCTCCTGAGTGCACAGCCATTTCTCTTGCCTAGAGATTTTTAGGAATTTTTCAGGAAAGTGGTGAGGGCTGCTCTTGGCAGGGGAGCCTTGCCAGTTAGGAAATGGAGTCCATGTTGATGATATTGATGATTTCTGCTGCCCCACTCATGATGGTGTGTACACCGCTGGGTCTTATGGGCTAACTTACTGAGTGTCTAAACACAGTTACTTCATAACATTAAGATAATGTGGGTTTTGGCTGAGCACCCAAAGGTCAGTGAGTAGGGCACCAGCCACATACACTGAGGCTTCCAGGTTTGAGCCCGGCCTGGGCCTGCTAAACAACAAAGACAATTGCAACTAAAAAATAGCTGGGCATTGTGGTGGGCACCTGTTGTCCCAGCTACTTGGGAGGCTGCGGCAAGAGAATTGCTTAAGCACAAGAGTTTGAGATTGCCGTGAGCTATGACGCCACAACACTCTACTAAGGGCAACATAGTGAGACTCTGTCTCCAAAAAAAAAAAAAAGAGAGAGATAATGTGGATTTTAGAGAAATTTATATTAAGCACATTATATTGGATCAAAGATAGAGTAGTAAAGGTACTTTTTTTGATCCTGTGGTGTTTACTGGCCGAGTTAGAAATCTGACCACATCATATTTATGTGCAGAACCATTTAAAACCTACTAGTATGCTTAAGGCATGGAATTTGGCCATGCTTCCAGGGTGGTTGACCTCAGTGAGTGACTGTGTCCCCATCTCCCCTCTTCTGGTCACTGCAGAGAGCTGGTCCGAGTGGTCAGACTGGGCCGAGTGCGATGCGTCTGGCACCCAGACCCGTGCCCGCCAGTGTATCCCCCTGTTCCCCGTGGGCAACCAGTGTTCCGGCAACAGCACCGAGAGCCGGCCATGTGTTTTCGACTCTAATTTCATCCCAGGTAAGAGCAGAGGTATTTATCAGCATGAACAAAGTCATTTTCAACATTTAAAGAAAATGACTCGTAGGTCAGAATTTTATCTGTTATTTCAGGCCCTATTTGGTGAAATGGAGATGATTCTGCCAACTCAAATGATATCAAGGGGATTAAAGTGAAGATTTACACATAACTGCAAATTTAGACTTGAGTTTGTGAGTTTAAAGCTCCTTAAACACCGTGCCTTCCATAATGTATTTATGAAAATGCACACAGCTATGATTTAATAAAAAAATTAAATCAAGTAGAAAAAAATGAAAATCAATTATATTAGGTTATTAATATTAGGTTAAATGTTTTGGCAGTGCTGTATGTAGTGTATTTGCACAGAGGAAAAGGGGCCTAGTCTCTATAAAATCTTTAATATGTTTGAGAAACCCTTCATATCCTCCCCTTGGAGAAAGGGTGGCTGGCCCTCGTGGGCCAGGCTTTCTAACCCAAATCAGTGCTGCCTCCTCAGTAGCAGCTGGTCACCGGCTGCGTGCTCACCTGAGTAAGGTGCCAGAGAGGTGTATAAACCTTTTAGCTTCCACTCACCAGGTCCCACAGGCTGTGACATGGGCCAAAGCAAAGACCAACACATTACAAAAAAATAATAGGCTTCAATTCTATGAGCCAAGTTTGACTCTACTTGTGGAAAAGATAATATTTGAGAGAAAGCAGTTAGCCCCAGCCCTACAAGCCACCTCCATCACAGACGGTGCTGAACAACACTGTGTTTGTTGTTATCATTTCCCTTTTAACCACAGCCACATTTTTAAGTCTCATTATCTAATCAAAATTCAATACAAGAGAAAACAGTGTCTCTTGACTCCTAAAGTCGTGTAATATCCTTGGGTGTTAACACCTGTAGGAGGTCTGACCTCTGGCGCCTTGGGGTAGATTTCATGTGTGGCCTGGAAAAGAGCAAGAATTGGGGCCGCACAGGGACCTTATTTGTTAGGGAGGTTTCCTTGGAGCACTGGTGGGTCGGTCCCCACTCTGAAGGGAATGTGGCAACAGCAGCTTTGACATCCAGCCTCTGAGGCAGGAGCACCACAGGCAGACCCTATGTGTGTGTGTGTTGGAAAGGGGACGTCCACAGCTGGCAGGACACAGCACCCTGTCACAGAGAATCAGCACTCACCTGGCTTGCAGCCCAAGGGACCATGGTATTTTCTTTCTGTGATAAGGAATCCCTCTTTTTCCCAGTCAAGGCAACTTGACAACGTCCATCTCAGTTTGGTTAAATGAAGAAACTAATATGATATTTTTGATAATTAATCAGGCTTTTGAAACTTTGCCTCACATAAATTTCAAAAATCATTTATCCCTCCCTCTGGGGATCACACCAATGGAGCATATTGCAAGGACAAGTTGGATCTATCAGGTGTAGAACACAAATGTCTTAACACTGTAATTGGGTAAATGAGGTGAAGCCTATGCTGATTAGTAGGAGGTAAGCACTCCAATTTGTACAAATAATCAACACATTGAATCCCACAATGTTATAAATGTATTCATGATCTATGTACAAATGACTTAATAAAAAAATAATAAAAAAAATCATTTAGACTTTGGGAGGCTGAAGCAAAAGAATCACTGAAGCCCAAGGGTTCAAGTTTGAGGTTGCTGTGAGCTGTGATGCCAGAGCACTCTACCGAGGGCAACATAGTGAGACTTTGTCTCAAAGAAAAAAAAAAAAAGAGGGTGGCACTTGTGGCTCAAAGGGGTAGTGTGCCGCCCATATGCCGGAGGTGGCGGGTTCAAACCCAGCCCTGGCCAAAAACTGCAAAAAAAAATAGAAGAAATCATTTAGACCAGTGTTTTTCAGCTGGTATTCCCTGGCACACTGGTGTGAAGTGAAAGGAGCTTAGGTGTGCTTTGATAATTTTTAAAGGTCACTGCTTTATTTTCAAAAGAAGTTCAAAGCACAGTCAGCCTATTCCTATTTATACTCTTCCTTGCTGATCAGCATAATTTCAGTGTGCCACGGAAATTTAACTACAGGTTCAAGTGTGCTATGAAATAAAAAAGGTTGAAAGATACTGATTTGGAAACATTAGACATGAAGTTCTTTCCCAGTGCCCTTTATGCATTGTAATTGTGCTTTTGTTTTTCCAGAAGTTTCTGTGGCAAGATCCAGTAGCATAGAAGAGAAAAGGTGTGGAGGTACGGTCTACCTTTCAACTCATGTGTTTTAGATTAATATCGGGGTGCATGTGGTTAGGGTACAGAGTTTGCTTTTGTGAGCTAAGAGTCTGAGTTGTACTTATGTCCTTCCCCTGGGAGTGTGGAATATGTCGTGTACCCGTAACAGGTACTAGTTGGGCAGGAATTTACTCACCGTCCAGACCTCTCCCGACTGGAATTTCATTGCGTTTTCCTCTCATATGAGCCTGTGGTTGTTAATCTGCTGGTTCCATTTCAGCACTGAGCGCTTGTGGTGCTTGTTTTTCCATTCTTGTGATACTTTGCCTGGGAGAATGTTCTCCAAATCCTTCCAGATGGTTACAAAAGACATAAAATCCGTCTTTTTATGTCTGAATAGTATACCGTGGTATACGTAATGCCACAATTTATAAGACATACATGGATTGTACTTGGTATTCTCATGCATTCTAATCATTTTTCTTCCTGTACGTTTTCTAAAATATTTCTGCTGTTGGCCAAGAATAAAACACTGAAGAACTCGCTGGGCCCTAAACATCTAATACCTTGGCACAAATGCTACCAGTTGATATTGATGTGAGCCTCAGTGGGGTCTAGACCAACCTCACTGGGGTCCCTGGAACTTGATGTGAGTGCAGATTCCCAGGCTCTGCCTCTCTCTACAGAAAGAAAACCCAGCAGTCTGTGGCCTAATAAGCCCTTCAGGTGATGCTGATGGTATAAGCTGTACTAACCAGCAATCCTGATGTTACCCATAGCTTGCTTTCCCATGAGTACAGTGAAATAGAATTCAAGCAATGTCCTTTATATTTGCAGCACAAATCCACGGCAGCTAGCCTCAGATCTCCAGTCCACTGCAGTGACTAAATTGTGATGAGGCATAAGATTATACCTCTATCACTAGAGAGATTTTGAAAACTTTTTGCCACCCTTAATGTCAAAAACCTCATTCTCTGATTTAAGTCCGTAATAAATTTGGACTAACAGTCTGTCCCTTACATACGTAACACAAAATACTTGTCTGTGCTGCAGACATGTCTGGAGGGAGAACATGTCTCCAGGGAGCAAAGCACAGCTTACGTTCACCTTTGAGAAATCTGAGCCACTATCTCCACTGAGACCTTCACTGTCACACGTGTGACCCCTGACATGCAGATGTTCATGTCACCATAGTCCACTCCACCAGGGTGATCCCAGGGGGCTCAGCCCGGGAGCCTTTGGCCTCTGCTTATGATCACATGGAGTCCAAAGCCTCACACGTGTGTGTCAGAGACACACTTACCCTCCTTATTAGCCACGTCTGTCAAGAGCTCACTGTTACGTTCTATCTGCTCAGTCAGCCATCACTTCGTTCATTCATCTTTGCTGAGCAAACTTTTCTGTGTCAGTTTCACGAGAGGCAGTGAGCTTACAGTGGGGTCTGAATATCCCCCAGCCACCCAGGAACTAATCATCAGAGACCACAGCACCTGAGAAAGGCAAGGTCCGATGTGTGACCTAAGGCCCTTGAGTGAGTCTGGTGACTGGCTGTTGCTGACACAAGATCCAGCTACAAGATGAAGATGCCCCAGTTCACACAGAAAACAATCACAGCAATTAGTATCCTTGAGTATTTTTACAGCAGACACTGTGCCAGGCACTGCATTAAATGTTTGGACAAGAAGTCTCTCTCTTGGTTCCTATGCAGAGCGTTCACCACAGTGCCATGGTCCACAGTTTCTTACACAAAATCTTTGAAGAGAGAGATTTGAACTCAGCATTTCTTGGATTCAACAAGAGGAATATGGGGCTGACGCTGTATTTTACACAGCAGCCTGCAGGGGCTGGGCCCCCTCCACACTGTGAAACATGGGCAGACCGAGGAGGCCCCCGTTGCTTTGAGCAGTTCTGGTCAAGTCACGATGTGCTGCCAGATGAGTGATGACAAATCAGTCCTGAGAGATGTTATTTGGGACTTATAGAGAAGGGTTAGTGGCTATGTATGTTTTGTACTCTGCACTTTATAAACGGGGTCTGTGGGGCTCAGAGAGGTGAGGTCACTGGTCCAAGTCCACACACCTGGTAAGCAGTTGAGCCAGGGATGGGCTCAGGCAGGGAGACACAGTGTGGATTTTAAACCCAAACCAGTACAAGAAAAGGGTCCAAAAGGATTGTATCCAAGGACCTCAAGCCACAACAGCCCAGTTAGAGGGTGCTCTCAGGCAACACCAGGGTCCGAGGCAGGCTGATGCCCTGGAGGACAGTGTAGGCCAGGAGTAAAGCAGAGTTTGGTGAAGGAGGGAGACCAGGGCAGACCCCGGGGTCAGACACTGATGCTGCTGCAGCGCTGACTGGCCATGTGCAGCTCCACAAGGGGTGCGCCACCTGCCCCCCCTCCCTGGGTTGCTCTGTGGGAGCTTCAGGGCCAGGAGCACCCCAGGGAATGAGGGGTACAATACAAGGGCATCATACAATACCACATGAGCCAGAACCGAGCTTGACAAGCTGCGGGTTAAATCACAGAACTTTGACAACAGTACTCCAAAGTGATTTTTTAATTTTTAGATCTTTAGGCTGCTGACATGGACACCCAGTAGAGGCAGTTTATGTGGGTCTCGTTATGGGGCTAACAGAGGAAGACCATTACCTTGCAAGGATGTTTAGGGAGGTGAGATAGACATCTTTCTTCAGTTTGTTGAGAAATGAAACTTTGCACAGGAAATCAACCAATTAAAGTGTCTGGGTAGTTGGTCTCTAATCCATCTGACCAAAATCAACAGTAAGAAAAAAAAAAAAACTTATTCATGGAAAGAGCCCCACTGAGCAGATTCAAAACAGGTTTAATAGGCCCTATTTTTTCCATATACAGAAAAAAATATGTTTCTACCAAAATGTTTCATCATAGCTATTTTTGGTTGCATAGCGCTGACTACATAATCATCATAAAGCTGCCGCTGCCCCCCCCCGCCCCCGGCACCTGCAGGCGTGACTCATCTGACTAATGACAGAGCACCTGCCCTGGACAGCACCGGGCCCCTTGCGTGTGTTGAGTGAATATGAGTTAGCAGTGCAGCAGGATGTATTTTTATCAGTACGTGGCATTGACCCTGGGGAGTCCTAGATGCTAAAGTACAGAGAAATGAAAATGCATGGGCAGTCAGCTCTGGCTCACCTTCGGTACAGCGTCCGTGTCACAGTAAAAGATTCCAGTGGTGGCAGGTGGAGCACGCCCTGGGTGCTCGGTCCAGCGCACAGGTGGGAGCGCTCCAGTTCTAGAGGCTTCATGACAGGACCCGGAAAGGAGGAAGATTTGGGAAGTCCTTGCACATTCTTATGCCATTGACCAAATAAGCGGGAAGGACAAGCCACGGTGTGGTCAGGGGGAAGGGGGGCACATGGGGCTCCAGTCGCGTCCCAGGCTGCCCCTCCCTCAGTGCTGGGTGCAGCGCACACTGTGTTAGGAACCGTGTTGTCCGAGTGGTTTCAGTGCGTTAGGGGCTGCTGTGAGTGGTGGCTGACGGCAAACCCCAGGGAAGGCGCCTTTGGTCCCTGTGTCCTGCACCTCCTGAGGCAGGTCTGTCTCCTGAGTCCCGAGTTTCTGGAACACGGTGTCTGGGAGCAGCAAAGGACACAGCATAGAGGGAGGTGCTCAGGGTTTAGAGATGATGAGGGATGTTCAACGTCTGCCTGGGATGACACCTGAGGCCTTGATGGCATCTCCTGACCCACAACCTGGCTTCCCATGGGCCCTCTCAGCCACCTGCAGGGTTTCCTGAAGTTTAGAAGGACCCAGAGCCCTGGGGTCCCTGCTCTAGTGGGCACTCTGTCAATAGTGACCGAGTGGCCCTCTGACACCAAGTGTTAGAGCCCCATGGGCTGGCACTGGCAGCATAGAGTCCTCCCAGGTGGTGAGTGTGGAAAACAGGCGTGAGGAGCACAGAGCACAGGGAAGGTGGCTCAGAACGTCCCAGGGCAGGAGGCTGAGCCGGTAAGAAGCAAATCCCCGGCCCTGGTGCGGGGACAAACCTACAGGCTCTTGTCTTCATCCTGGGAGCCTAGAAGGCTCTGCTCTGTGGCCAAGTGGACTCAGCTGGTGTCCACAGTGACACACCATAGGCATCTCCAACTGTCCCACTGGGGTCCCGGGTTGACCAGTCAGGGGAAAGCATCAGTGTCAGTGTCGCCCTTCCCAGTGGTATGTAGAGGGGCCTGGGGTGACCCTGGTATCTTCAGGCTGTGCTGTGAGAAGGTGGGACGCTAGGACAGTGCCACGCAGGCAGTCGGCCACAGTGCAGGACAATAAGGCCTGTTCTGCTTCAGCCAGTTCTCACTAACCCAGCCCCACACGCACTGCCCGGGTGTCGCCTTTGTTTCCTAGAAAGGCGTGGGACTTTAACGCAGTTTCGTGAGCACACAGCGAGTGTCTGCTTTGTTTACTGTGGCTTCTCAGACATCATGCAGGTCTCCGTGTGTGTCTCCAATGTCACTTGAGCCAAGCTTAAGTCCACGTAGGCTCATTTTTTGAATGGTTTATATCTTTAAGTCAGAAACAATAACTAAAGAAACAAAAGAGATGCTGTTCAATAGAAAACCAGTGGCCAAAACGGGGTCATTGTATAATGGTTTGAAAGATCATATTTCATTCTTTTACCACAAAGCCCTTTATTTCTTTGGAGTAAACCATTTTTGTGATAAGGTCTCAAAACTGCAACGTAAGTGAAAAAGTACACAGAATACTATTCACACACGTCCACACATGTCCACACACATACATAAGCATACACACATACACATATATACATTCATGCACATGTACACACGTCCACATACATATATACACGCACATGTACACACGTCCACATACATATATACACGCACATGTACACAGTCCATATACATACACATGCATACACATACACATACATCCACACACGTACATACACAAGCACATATACACACATTCGTGTCCACATATGTACACACACACGTACGCACACACGTACATGCACACACATACACATATACACACATGCACACACACAGGTGCATATGTGTGTGACATAGCTCTAGAAGGCACCTGAGAAATGGGTTATGTATTTGTCTCTAGAAAAGAAGAAAGATTTATTTTTCCTGTCTGGGGTGCCCCAACTTTTTTCTTCTTTGCACAAATTGGAAGAGGAAGAGTTATCTTGAACTACATAGGAAATATGAACACTAACAAAAGCTGACGAGAGGTGTAAAACGGTCTGCACATACTTTCACGATATCTGATGCCACGGAGAGGTAAAACAGGCCTCAAATAATCAGCATGTGGCCTGAGGACTGTAGGTGGGACACCCCAGCTAGATCCTCTTGCACTTTCTAATATTGTGCAATGTATACATGTAACATCCAAAAAATGTAATGAAATACATAAGAATTTATCGAAAGAAAAAATATTTTTAAATAAAATGAAATTTAAAAAGAGAGGCCTGATCCCAGCAATCAGCCTCCCTCCATCTATGGTTCATCTTAGAGGGTACATGTGAAACTTTCTAAATGTAGAATATAGATGTCTTAACACAATAACTAAGAAAATGACATGAAGGCTATGTTAACCAGTTGGATGAAAATATTTCAAATTGTACATAAAATCAGCACACTGTCCCTCCCCCATGATAGTATTAATATACACAGCTATGATTTAATAAAAATTAAAAGAGAGAGAGAGAGAGAGGCCCTGGTCTTGTGTGCAGGTGAGTGGGGAATGTGAGCAGGAAATGCCTTCTGCCCTTGTTCATGGGACATGGCCGAGCTGCGTGCCGGGGAGCCCGGCCTGTGTGGAGCAGCGACAGGAAGGTCCGTAGAAGCCCCATAGAGCACAGACTATGCTATATGGGAAACAGAACAAACCTTAAAAATAGCACTATATAAAAGCTTCTGCTGGTCTATTAAGGTTTAAGTTATCTCCAGAAGACTGATTAAAATCCATGGACTAAAACTATACCATGATCTCTGTGGAAAGGTTTCTTCGTGTCCATGCCATTTCAAGGGAAAAACTTAAGAATTCGGAGTCCTCTAACTTTAGAGGGGCTGTCCATGCCATCACTGTCTTTCATCTGAGCACTTCAAGCACTCAGGCGGCATGTCCTTCTCACGTGTGGCGTCCTTCCGTCTGTCCCCCCAGAGCAGTCAGGTGGCGTGTCCTTCTCACGTGTGGC